TTTAAAAAACCTTGTTTTCACCCTTTCCAAACCAATTTAGGGGCCATGGGTAGGGGACGACCCCAATTTTGAGGAGGAAGAAACCATGGAACGGCCGCCTGCTCTCTACGGCTTTGTCCACCCAGCCATGACATGCTAACACGCTCGCCAGCGCTACTCGGAAATGTCAAACTCAGCCCCAGACATTGGCACCGAAGAACCCATGCCGGAAGAGTTCCTCACAGCCTTCAACTGCCTCTGGGCCGACAAGGGAGTACAGCTCACAATACTAAAGGGCAATCAATATGCGCTGCACGACAACTTGAACTAGTAGGTCCCACTGGCCCTAGACTTGGGTCCCCTTCCACATTCACTAACCATCACAGCTTCTTCCAAGACATCGACCGATTGTTTCAAAAAGACTTCCTCCCCACAGACCAGGACATTCTACGCACCCGGTTACGCACAACAGGCATCTCGGAGACCATCTTCGAGCTGGGAAACCTTACCTACAAGATGGTCGATGTCGGCGGACAACGGTCGGAGCGAAAGAAGTGGATACATGTCTTTGACAACGTTCAGGTCGTACTCTTCTTGGTAGCCATCAGTGGCTACGATCATGTGCTCGTAGAAGACCGCAACGGGGTAAGGCCGCCTTGTAGCAGGATAGCCCCGTATTGGTTATTGCGCGCTAACACATGGACTAGAACCAAATGCACGAGGCCCTCATGCTCTTCGAGTCCATCTCCAACTCCAAGTACTTCGAAAAGTCTGCGCTCATCCTATTCCTCAACAAGATTGATCTGTTCCGCGAGAAGATAGCCGGAGGGATGAGCCCCATCTGCAAGGTTTTCCCAGACTACACCGGCGCGCCGACGGACATCGAGGCCGGCATGGAATTCTTCGCTCACAAGTTCCGGAACCTGGTGCGGCAACCAAAAAAGGAGGTGTACGTTCACTACACCAATGCAACCGACACGAACTTGCTCAAAATCACCATGGCGTCCGTACAAGACATGATTGTGCAACGGAATCTCAATGCCCTCATCTTATAATAATCAATCGGCCTGCGTGCTCCCAGACCAAGACAGATATTCCGCCCAGGGATTCCCAGGGTCCGCCGGCCACCCACCATACAAAAGGAGTTGTGCACAAGTACGCGCTCTACTACTCTACTTTATTTGGGAGAGCAAAATATAGCGTGCGGGTGGAACATCAAGAAGCAGCAAGTTTCATTCTATACCCTCTGTATTCAGGATTTTTTTCCTTTTCTTTTCCCATCTCTCTTCTTCCTTTTACTCGTCTGCCTTGTTTCCATGACGATATCACGACATAGTTTTTGATTGGTGTACGAGCAAGCGCATATCCTGCACTTGTAGATTGATACTAGAAGCGGTGGCAAGATTGCGCTCTCATGCCGGTTCCATTTTTCCGTGGTGGCATACGCGTTACGGCTGGCGATGAGAGGTTGGTTTGGTTGTACCTGGTGCCGATTCGTCGATCAAGTTTCTCGAGACAATAGAGAACGCATGCGACGGAGAGTGAGAGAAGAAGAGATGAGGCAACCGTAGGTGTGTGTCCAAGTCTCTCCTCTTGAACAGGAGCAGATTCATGGCGCTTGGGAAAACAAAAGATGCGGGTGCACATCAACCAACCCGCCCCATAGTGTATGTAAGAGCATGCCCACCTGTGGCCCTTTGTGGCCCAGTGCTGATGAAGGGTGATGCCCCCAAAAAACAATCAATATCATAATGAATATAGGCGGAATGAGGAGACCAAGGCAAATGGCATCATGCTACTGAGTATATGACGGCGCATGTCAGCGTACATACACAGAAAGGATTAGAGTAGTGGTGTGACTAAGTTGCTGATAGGCCAAAAGAGACTCTTGGCGCGACGAGGTGTGCACTTGAGCCGCCTCCAACCTTGGACGCACCTAGACACACCTGACCTGGCCCTCACCAACCACCTACTAGGCAACTGGGCAACACTGGCCTAACCGTCCGTACACCACCGGCCTACAACACCACCACCACCACCGCAAGCCCCCCTTCCGAATGCGCGCCATGTTCTCCCCGGCCATCGGGAGAGCTGCCCGCACCGCCAACACCTTTTCCTGCGCCCCAGCCAGCTGCCTGCTCCGCGCAACGCTGGATCCTGCGCCGCAACAAGCCTTCCGCCCGCGTTACCAACGCCGTCTGTCGTCCTCGAAGCCGTCATCCCCACCAAGCAGCCGGAAGAAGGCTGGGGTATTGGAAGAGAATGCCTCGGCAAAACAGGTGGGCTCAGAGCCGCCTTCGATGGGCGCAAAAACGAAACAAAAAGAAGCCTCCACTGCCCCGCCCAAGCACAACATTCCCTATGTTCCCTCGACCGATCACACAGACTCAGCTGGTACGTATAGGGAGCAAGCGACGGTCTAATACGCCCTCTTTCTTCATGTGTGTGTGTGTGTGTGTGTGTGTGTGCTCACAAGTCGTAGAGGTGAAAATGGCCTCCTTCTTTGGCCTCCACCGTCCCTTGTCCTCCCTCAAGCCTGTGATACCACGACCAACGTCCACCGCAGAATTCGATGCCCTCTTCGATCCCGCGCACTTCCAAGACGCCCAGAAAAGACAAGTCGCAAGCAAAGTGCTTCAACACACTGTCGATACACTGGTAGAGGCCATGGAGGACCTGCGCGCGGCGAATCCAGACGACTATGAAATGTATGTCTCTGCGCCCCAAGCACGAGAGGAGCCTGTATACCATCTTGACCGGCTGCACGAGCACACGGAACAGAGCATCCTCAACTTGGCCTCCCGCATGATTCCTTTTGCGCCGCCTCCGGCACCCACACCCCACGATAAACTAGCTGTCCAATTCAAGGCCATTACGCGCACCCTAGCCGGGGACGTCGATCGCACCAACACACAATCCTCATTCCCAGCGCTTCGTGCCGCGCGATCAACACCGTTTCGGGCCCACGTCGCGCGCCGGCGATTGGTAGACAGTATGCTGCTCATTAGCGTGAAGAGGCAGAGGAAGCTGAAAATGAAGAAGCACAAGTATAAGAAGCTTATGAAGAAGACGAGGCTGCTGCGAAGGAAGCTAGATAGGCTATAGTAGCATGTAGCGACTGCGGCTGGAATAATACACTCTATCACCTCTTTCAAAACATGATTGGCTTGCTGAATACATCAGACAGTAACAGTTGTCGGGCTACCCAGCGCCCCGGTCCGCCCAACTACAGCCAAGCTCAATCGATTGTTCTGAAGTCAATCTTACGACAACGACGAAACTGTCTCAAGAACATTCCAGTCGCCTGCCAATCGCCTGACAGCGGGGACCGCTTTGTCTTTGCCACTGTCGCCATACTTTTAGGCATGAAAATTGCGCAAGAGTTGCGCCTTCCATTTGGGCTCCCGTGTTTACTCCGGCAAACCCGTCGTTTTCCCGCATCACTGCATACAAGATACGCTCACACCATTCGAGCGCGAGCTCAAACGCATGAATCAGTCCTCGTTGCCAAGCACAACCCTCCTACCTGTTCCTGTCCTCGCCTACGTCTTGAAACGCCACCGCGACCTACCCCGTCGCAACGCACGTCCGGCTCCCGTCGACAAAGCGTCACAGCGTCACAATACCAACATTGGAAACAACGAGAACATATTTTGCCCCGCCAGCCAGCGCCTCAGTAGACGGCTGTTATGGATGAAGGCGGTTGCAGCCCGGCAATCAAACGTTCCAGTATGCGCCTACGGGCCTGACGGCTTGGCAGTTGGTACTCCCACATCATTATCCTCTCTCATGAAGGATTCTGGGCGTATGCTAGGCCTCGCGAGGGTCGGTTAAGCAGGGTGGTTGTGCAGTTGTGAGACTTATGCCATGGTCATTGATGGTGGTTTGGCTAGTCAGGCGCGTACGTCGAGGTATCGAGTATCCCGCATCATGGTAAAAGGGAAGGAAAAAAAAGTATAAAACTCTCCACATCTCCGCCGTTGGTTCACGGTTCAGCAACTTCACGACGCACACACTCGACCAGTAGCAACACCAGCTTTTTGGTTCTTCTTCTTTCGCTTTTCATTACCTTACATTCTTTCCGCCCAGGTCGGCTCTTTATTCACTCAATTAACAGGAGCTAGTTCTCTCATTTCAAACGTCTACACTTTATACTCTTTTCTCCGTTACCCCCAGACGTCTTCTTTGAATCTTACGCCCCTGTAGCCGCAATCATGGTCTCCAAATCCTTCCTCCTCGCCATCGCCATCGCCTACGTCGAGGCCCGCTTCGGCCAAGAACAAGTCCCCATCGCCGCCATCTCCGCCGTCCAAGGCGGCGAGCCCGGTGCCGCAGCTACCATTGCTGGCGCCGCCGTCTCCGACCTGCTCGGCGGTGCAGATGCCTGTGCCAAACTCACACGCGCCGACCAAGTCTTCACCGAACTCGGTGGAGGCGCAGACGCCCTCGCTGCCGCCATTGGCCTCGTGACGGCGGAGAAGAATACGAACCCGTTTGCCAATGGCAACGTGCAAAACGTCTGTGGTGACCCCAGTCTCCCGGCCACGGCCGAGCTCAGGGGTATCACGCCCTTGATCGATCCTGATGTCGATATTGACGGTGAGGCAGCGGCGCTTTCGGCAAGTAGTGCTGAGAATCCGCTTCCGGCTGATGGATTGAGTGTGTTTGATCTCATGGATCAGGCGGGGCTGGGTGATCTTGTGGCTTCGAGCACCGGTGGTGCGGGAGCTGGTGCGGGTGCGGGAGCTGATGCTGGTGCTGATGCCGGAGCTGGTGGTGACGCTGGCGCAGGCAACGGTGCAGATGCTGGTAACAATGCAGATGCCGGTAATAATGCGGATGCTGGCAACAATGCCGGCAACGACAATGCTGGTAACAATGATGCTGGCAACGACAACGCTGGTAACGATAATGCTGGTGACAATAACAATGCTGGTAACGGCAACGACAACACCCAAAACGGACAAGATGATTCCGCAAACCAGGATGCTTGCAATGATGCTGGAGCCGGCAACGGCAACAACGGCAACAACAACAACAATAATAATAACAATGCTGGAAACAACGCTGGTAACGGCAACGGTGATGCTAATAACGGCAATGCTGGTAACAACGGCAATGACAACGCTGGAAACGATGCTGGAAACGACAATGGTATGAACGATGCTGGAAACAACGCTGGAAACGACAATGGCATGAATGATGCTGGTAACGATGCTGGCAACGACAATGCCAACAATGATGCTGGCAACGACAATGCCAACAACGATGCTGGCAACGACAATGCCAACAATGATGCTGGCAACGACAATGCAGGTAACGATGCTGGAAACGACAACAACGCAGACGCCGGCAACGGCGGAGCAACCGGCGACGCCGACTTTGGCGACTGCACCCCAACCATCACCTTCCAAGGCGGCGAAGGCAACCGGCCCGCCGACGAATTCACCTTCCAAATCGCCGACCCCCTCGCCCGCGGCGGCCAAGGCGAAGCCCTCAACCCAAACATCATCACAAACGCCCTCTGCAATCAACTCACCAATGTATGCGGCGCAAACGACGCCGCCATTGCCCTGTGCGAGGAGGGCAAAGCTCAGGTCGAGGCCGCGGGTACGAGGGACAAGAGTACCGCTGATTTGTTCAACACCGCGTTGGGCTTTGCTGGGGCGGTTACGAACCCCGATGGTGGGCCCGAGGATGTTCCTGCTGCCAAGGGGAAGAGGAGTATGAGGCGTGGAGTCAGGGCTTAGATTGAGGTGCTCTTGTACAGAGAGGATGGAGGATAGGCTGAGACGGCGGTTGTTGGGGGATATCGTTTTCTTCTTCAATGTCAATGGTGATTCCATGGTTGAAAGCGACCGGTGGCGGGGGTTTATTTTTGAGTCTGGGTTGTAGGATTATTTTGGCATGTTAGCTACGGCAATGATATTTAGAGTGTGTGCTGTCATCAGTTGAGCCCATGCGGAGTGTGTCGTGCATCTTGTTGTGAGTTGTGAAAGCAGCAGGGAGAGATTGGGTAGGGGTTGTTCTATGTTCTGGTGATAGGTATGGCAAGTGCTTGTGCTGATTGAGAAACCTGGCCTTCGCCAAATATGTAGAGGCTGGGGGAATTTTGTACAATGGTGAAAAGTTGCCATGGCAGCAGTCAGTGCCTTAGAGGGAGGTTCTTGGGGAGGACGGGCCGGGTCAATAGGGGAGGCAGTGTTACTACATCACACCGTAAAGCTGGGTAAGCGAGGACCTCTGTATCAAAGGCAAACAAGTCGCATATATACGTAGTATACTCTGACTGCCATGAACTCTACTCTACCACAAAGCACCCGGACGGCGAAAAGCAAGAAGACTCCTGCGACACAACGCGCAATCATAACGTCTGACCATCTTGCTTTTCATTTGCGCCATCAGGCAGTCTGCGCAGAACATGTGGCCACAGACTTCAAGACGACGCATGCTCCGTTGCGGCTCGAGACAGATGCTGCATTGCGTGTCTACCTCGGTCGAGACACTGTCGAGTATAGCGATGAGTCTGGGTCGCATGGGCGGGGCATGCTGTGTAGGACGTGGGTGGACGATGGGGTTGGGAGTCTGGGGTGGCGTGTGATCTGATGGGGGTAATAGTACGGTTGAGAAGGAGGAGATGGCGTTTGTGATTCTAGAGACGAGTCCACTGGATGCGGGTGGGGTGGGATGCGGAAACGGTGAGGAATCCGGGTGTGGGACGACGAAGGGCTCGCTGATGTCTTCTGTGGAGAGGGAAGCAGCACTTGGGATTCGATGACGTCTAGATTCTGCTCTGGGGCGAACCTCTGAACTCAAGTAACTATTGCGTTGTCGTCTTCGTGATAGAGCCGACACTGTACTGGGCATAAACACTGGGGTTGTAGGCGGAGAGGCACTCCTATCCGAGGGAGGTGAAGCGGGTCTGGCATTGAAAACAGGAGACTGAGACGGGGAAGGTTGACCGATGGCCAAACGCGACAATGTCAATTCATCAGAAGATTGACTTTGTGGAGAAGAATCCAGTCGAACTCTGTCTGGAGCAACAACTGTATGATCCGAGCAACGCCAACGACCCTCGACATCTCGGTCGAAGGCGCGTTGAATACATGTATGCGCATTTCCAGTCCGTCGACCAGGTGGCCGCTTGAGTACCACATCGCATTGGTCTGCATGGTGGCCACAATACCACGACTGGCTTTCAATGTCAACACAGACAGCTCGTCTGAATCCATCGTGTACACAGAGAGGTACGCCGAAGCGCGCGTAGCCGATGCAGTAGGAGCAGAGCCATTTGTCGGAAAAGGCATAGTAGATGCGCGCTGGATTCGGGCATCCGCGATACTACTCGCAGGTAGCTGGACACAATCGCATGGTGTCGTCAATAGCAATATTGAGTGGAGGGGTTTCGATTCAAAGGTTCAATCGAAACAGAAGACATGAATTAGTTGCCCTTTGGTGATAACAATGCTCGATTCCTGGTTTGTATGTTTTGGTGTGCGTGAGAGACGAAACGTCTACTTGTATCCACCGCTCCAAAAAGGGCCATGAGGAGGCTCTCATTCCCATTCTACCTGGTGGAAGCTCATTCAAATAGGAAGCAGGCGGCAAGTGTTTCCTGTGAGCGAAGGAGCAATGTAGGATAGTGGGTAGGAGTGGACGTTGATCAAGTGCGCTCAAAGGGGCAAGGCGCCGTGGGGGGTAGTGGGGGAGCCTGTCCTGTCCTGCTTACATAACTGACGGCATGGGAATTATTTCACTACTCACGTTGGCCCCAGCATCACAACTAGACCAGCAGCATCGACAGCCATGCCACCACGGCTCTCTCACCTTCGCCTGGCCTCATCGCTCCTATCGAGGCCGCAGAAGCCCACACGATCACCAGTGCCATTGGCAGTCGCCTGCCTCGCCCTCGCCCAGCAGCGATGCGCCTCGATTCTGTCGTCGCTCGCCGACAACAAGGGCGCCTACAACAAAAAGATTAGACGAGGTCGCGGTCCTGCGTCTGGCAAAGGCAAGACGAGTGGAAGAGGTCAGAAGGGCCAGCATGCACACGGAAAAGTGCCTGCGGGCTTTGAGGGTGGACAGACGCCGCAATGGATCACCAACCCAGACCGTGGCCGGGGCAAATACAACCCCTTCACCGTCGAGATGTCGCCGATAAACCTGGACCGGATCCAGTCGTGGATAGATCAAGGGCGATTGGACCCTTCCAAGCCCATCACAATGAAGGAGCTGGCCAAGTCACGCTGTCTGCACGGCGTGAAGCGAAACGGCGTCAAGCTGCTGGCTAGGAACGCCGAGCAGTTCACCACGCCCATCCATATAATCGTATCCCGCGCCTCGGCCGAAGCCATCGCTCGCGTCGAACAACTTGGTGGCAGTGTCACCACCCGCTTCTATTCCGCTACCTCGATCAAGCGTGTCCTCCGTGGCCACTCCCACCCCGCAATATCTTTACAAGCCTCATCAGATCTCGTCACCTTGACCGCCCAAAACTCCGCCATTGTCGACTCACCCATCCTCTCCTCTCTGCAGACCGCTGCGGCAGACGCAAGGCGCGAGGCCATGGCCATGGTGATGCAACAGGTTGGGCAAAAATACAAGTACAGGCTGCCAGATGCCACGTCGCGAAAGGACATTGAATACTACCGAGACCCCGAACACCGCGGCTATCTCAGCTACACGCTCAAGGATGGCGAGAGCCCGAGTTTGTTCTTCAAGCCGCCGGTTGAGGCCAAGGACAGGAAGCAGAAGAGCGCGAGGAAAGATGCTGCCAAGGCTAGTGCGGATAACAGGCTGTTTTAGAGCGGGCACGGGGTGTACACATGTATCATATTGTCAGGATATCACCCATTTTCACACGGTTCCATCACCGATACTCAAATGCAAAATATGCAGACGCCGTGGTTTGTGCAAGCTCGCAGGAATACCCAATGACAAAATTCCAAGCAGAGCGAGCCCTCACGGCAAATTTTACTTTCGTGCATTCCATTCGTGATTTGCCGCGGAACTGTGACATATGCTCTTGTCCATTCCACAAGACTATTGCCAGATAGCAGCAGTCCTTGGACACAAGGGGGGTACCCGCTAGCAAGACTGACCATGAAAAAATGCTCTTCCTGTGAGACTATACGGGTTGGAGGTCTTGTCCACGATGGCAGGACTTGTCCGGCATTACCGGTAGGCTGATTTCGTCTTTGTCCAGCGTGCTATCAAAGGACTACTCACCACCAATACACTTCTCTCCAAGCGAGACAAGACACAGCTTCAACCACCACCACGCCACCCATCCCTATCCATACCAACGCACCAGCCCACCAGTCTATTCCGCTGCCCCAAACATTTCCGCTACGTGATACACCAACCCCCTCACCAACGCATCGCGCGTTCAAATCCGCAGCAGCGGATTGTCGACCAACACCTAGGCTGAATTTTTTATTGAGTTTGAACAGCGGAGAGAGACGGGTGGTTTTCTTCATCCTGGGTTGTTCGTCGGCTTGCTTGTGCATTTACCCCCCATGCAAAGAGCGAGTGCTGCAGGCCCGGGGGGGGGACCGATAAGTAAGCTACCTACGTCTGGGTACGACATGCGCATTGCACCTGGCACTTTTTCGACAACCAAGCCGTGTATGGGCGAGAAGAGGTCTGCAAACGTTTCTTGTTATGTGTGTTGATAAGAAGGGGGACGGAAAAGCGTCTGTGATGGACTTGTGGTGGTTGAGAAGTGGGTGGGGTCGTAGGGTAGGGTTGTACCCTTGCTGTATCATACATAGGTACTGGTATGGTAGGTATGTGTGCCTATGTGTGTCTGTGTGCATGGCAAAGTTCGCCATACCGAAATGAACTCGAAACTAAGTTTTGAGAGATGCACTTTGGTGTAAACCTTGCGTTGCATAAACACTCAAAGAGTTGACGGTGCGTGGCGCTGGTGGCGGAGGGGACACCTTGAGTATTGTACGCATGACCACCCAGCGCTACCTACCTAGTCAGAGTGCGTTACGTGGTGTGCAAGAAGACGTCCAGCGTAGTAGGTCTTTGTGGCGAAGAGCGGGCGGCCTCAACTCAGGCATGGATGCATGGGGGGCATTTTCCCTTGTGCGCATGTCAGAATTTCAAATGGCAAGTGCAGCTACTACATACTACGCAAGGCTGGGGTTGAGGGTGGGGCATGCATGGAGGACCAGTGAGCGTGTGAAGCTCGTGTGTGACTGTGCTACCCAGATCATGCTGAAAGGACACGGGGAGCGTTGGTCGTGAGATGCTTACTGTAGGCTTGATACAAAGGGCATGCTGCTAATCTACACCAAGCGCTCCGAATATACTGCCAATGCGCGAGCGACTGCACGTTAGGGAATCAAAAGGGGGAGGGCGGCGTTGATGCGACGCGTGTGTGTATGTGGCAGGGCAGAGGATGGGTTGTCGTTCATCATGTTACAAGGCAATGCACTCTGGACTCGCCTCTTGGGCCTGCGGTGGATGCCGAGAGCTCGAATGGGAACAGCTAGATGTTACTTTAGCCAAACAGGATTGTAACACTGTATGAGGCTGTATTGATGCTCGGACCGTGATACTGTCTCAAGCAAGAAACGTCAGCCCAAGGCCATTACACTGCGTCAGGCAGAGTAAAAAAGAAATTGCCGGTGAGAATATGCACAGTAGGGGAGGAAATCTGCAGTGCATCTCTAGGATGGAACAGGGAACTGCATCAGATGAGCTGGGAGTATGTCAACCCATGCTATCCGTTATCGAGATACAACATGACGGATCGGTTGAAGTTTGAACAGTGCTACTAAGTGTGTATGTAATAGATGCCCGCGGCGTCGAAAAGCGGCTTATTCGTTGAAATGGCGATTCGTCTTACCTGCTTGATTCAGCAGAGCCGGAGTCTTAGAGGGCTGTCGTGAAGGAGCTAGGATTGTGTAGGTAGGTAGCCGCCATGTGACACATACCTACTGAATGTACATACCGGTACATACACAGTACAGTATGTAGACATGAGACGTAATATACCTAGTCGAATTCCACCAAGACTTTTCGGCTGATTGCTAAGCGACATGGTGGACGGATGCCTGGGGGCCATGTTGATTGATGTTGCGACACGTGACCGTCAAGGTTAAGATTTGTCGTCACCTTGCACCTGGGCTGTCTGGGACAACGCGCCATCTCATAGCTTGTCTGAGCATGAGGAAAAAGTGTTGGGCGAACGGAATGAGCCACTTGGCTGAGCCACCGAGGCCCTTCAGACCGACATTCCTTCATCCTCATATAGTACAATACTGAATCGGGAGCCTGGCTGAAAGGGCGAAGATGGGCGCGCATGGATGGGAGGGAAGATGCACTAACCAAACCGTTCATGGTGCTGCTACATGGACGGGTGACGATCGGTTATTGAAAGTACGAGTGCTCCGTTTGTTGACTGATACCGGTATATCCACAGTACGGCGGACGTACGTATGCCGTGGAAGCGCGGTACGTCTCAGCTAGCGAGGTAATAATGCTACCATTTACATGCTGGTCTTACCCACGTACTCTCGGGCTGGGCACGACAACGGCCAACGACTCGCGTTCGTAATCGTGTAATCGTGTAATAGTCAGGCCAGGGAAGCGTTGCCGAGTATCCTCCGTCTCCCGTATCACACCTCAGCCTACGGTGGGAGCTACCATTGACCTCTGCCAACCCAAATAAAGCAAGGTCATTTCCACATTGTCAGATCGAGACCATTACTGCATGCAGCAAGCAGGTAAGTAAGAGTTTAGAGTATGTCTGATACGCTTCTGTTCAGCTCCTCGCCATTCTAACCATCGTCATGACCTGTTCCGATCCGTGGATGCAAAGTCAGATCTTAACTATCGATCGATGGTTTGCTTATAGACGCCAACAAAGCTCGTAAAACGGAGTATGATGTGCAAAGTGTCTCGATCTTCCATCCGTACCCACGTTTTTAGCACGATGCCGTGCTGTATAAGCGCAGTACCACGGAAAAAGATGCATCCAAGGTTCAAGTCGTGACCCTTCGTAAGATGAACCCAACTAAGATGCCGCAAGGATGGTAGTGAGGCAATGCGCGTTCGATGTACATAGTATGGTGTTGATCAGGCTTACGTGTGCACCGACTCGTACTTTGATTCCAGCGTAACCCCTCCCTCCCCAGTATTGACGGTACGTATGACCATGGCCCATTTAGCTCCACCTTATGGATATCAAAGAATGGCCGCACGACCAGAATTGCAAGATCACCGGCGGCACAGATATTGATTTACAATCTTTTCACTGCGACTGGGATGTCGCGTCTCCCTTGCTTTCGCGCCTTGCGAATTGCAATACTCTCCTCCCCGTCACCGTTCCACAATTAGCGTTGCTGGTTCGTTAGAGGCGTCGTCTATAATGTCAGGCTATTTGCAAGGAGCCAAGCAGGAAACGACGGTGCCGCTAACTACCAGAAGGCTTTACGAACCACAGGCATGGCTGCAGTGTGCATTTCAACGACCAACAACCTTTCCGAGGACGAGCGGTATTTTGCGACGACTGCGACACGGCGCCTGTCATGACTGGAAGCAGTCAGCCGTGAGCTCTCGCCCATTTCCAGCGCTCTTTGAACCAGGGGACAAAGCACGAGGAGAGAGAGCGAGAGCGAGAGGGAGGCGCGCGCAATGGCTCGGCACGTGGTTCGCAAGTCCCCAACGACGATCAGAGGGCGGTTTTGCGGTGCGGATTGCGGATTAGCCTCGACGCGGAATTCAACAGACAACGTTGGCGAAGAAACGGATGAATAAAGTCTCAAGCGTCAGTGCATGTGGTATGTGATGTGATTCGCCGGAAGCGCCGGGGCCGGCTGATGGTTGCAGGCAAATGCTTGGGTCCACTTGATTGAAAGCTGGCACGACACAAAGATCATTTGCAAGAGCGCAAAGAAAAAGGATTGCAAGATCAGCAGCTTTGCTCAAACCTCAGCCTGCAAAGCTTTCGTGTTGGACAGGGTTCGGGCTCGGATATAGGGCATGCTTAGGGTAAGGTAAGACCGCGTTATTGCTAGGCCGGGCTGGGGCCTGACGGCTGGTTCGTATCGCTTCTCTCACTGGCGGCAAGCACCACAGGCTTGCGGCTTGCCGTGGCCGTATGCGTGCATCAGCATTGCAGCCTGCCTTGGGGGCGTTGCCTGTGAGCGGACAACCGCCAAAGTTGAAAGCGAAGCAGCCAACAAAGCGCGATGGCAAAAGGAACCAGTCAGAGGGGCGTCAGAGTCAAACACGGCTTGAGAGGAATCATGCACACGTAAAACTACCATTCCAGACCGCTTGCTGGCGTCTGATGATGGTCCATGAGCCGACGACCGATGTTAAAAAACTTGCACCGTTGTCTGGGACGACGGTGGGTTTGTCCACCCACTGCACGACGCTATCGGGGTCCCAAAGCATGGCGCAAGCCTGGCATGGTTAACAGTAACCTCTTCGACCGCTTCAGGCAGTCGCTGGTGCTGGTGCTGGTGCTGGTGCTGGTACTGGTGTTGGTGCTGGTTTGGTGCGAGGCGCAGAGGTCAGCGTTGGAGGGGCCAGTGTTGTTGCGGGGAGCGGTGGGATTGTGCCGTCACAGAAGGAGCCAGGTTTGTGAGGGTTGAGGGACTCTCACTTAGGGAGGTGTGGTCTTCCTTCGTTGTGTGTGTGTGTCTGTGTGTGTGTGTGTGTGTGTGTGTGTGTGTGTGTGTGTGTGTGTGTGTGTGTGTGTGTGTGTGTGTGTGTGTGTGTGTGTGTGTGCGCGTGTGTGCGTGTGTGCTCCGCCTTGGCTGGTGCAGCTCGGCCTGGGCCTGAAGCGTAAGGGATCTGGCGACGGGAAAGGTGTAATCTGTAAGCGGTAGGCAATGAAATGCACTTCTCTATCCTGTCCTGGCGCCGCTGATGTGATGAACTGTGTGCTGTGCTGCGCTGTACTGTGCCGTGCTGTACTGTACCCAACTAGGCTGTGCTGTACTGTGCGGTACATCAGTTCGATATCCTTGCTGAGAAAGCGCAGACCGAGGGGCCGCCTCCGGGGAGCAGGCCGGCCATGGCATGAAAGGATGCAGGATGGATGAGGCCCACCAGCGCTATCGGTGCTGCGAGGATGGTGTCCCACCGTCCACCGTGAGGAAGGCCGGACGTGGACATGGAGGATGGTGGTATGGTGGGGGTGAAATCATGGCTGAATGTGCTTCCCCCCCCCCTCCCCGCTTCTTCTCTCCTGGGTACATCCATGGCTTAGGCACAGTAACAAGCCAATGAAACGACGCGGGATTCGCTGAAGCGGCATTATTGTGTATACCTACCTACATAGTACCTGTCTGTACTATCTATGTACCTTGATGCTGTGTTTAGTATGTCCCTAGGTAGGCGAAGACCAAAACGGTCGCCGCGGCTTAGCTAGCCAGCTTTCCTGGCTTCCTGGCTGGTTTGAATTCCTTCGGCGAGGGAGAGAGGGGGTGTGCGTGTGTGTGTTTGATTACCAGCGCCATCTGACCCGCCGCCATGCCTCGCCGCGTTCGTCCTAGACTCTTGGGGTGGGAAGACATGACGGGCGTGTGTATGGTGTGTGCGTGATTGCCTCTTGCCAGGCCACTCTTACTCTAGAGTAGGTACTAGATACCGTACACATACTACATGCTGTCTGTAATCCATGCACGCGGCAGAGCGAACACGCTCTTGTACCATGTGGGTACATACTCCTACATGAGTGTGCACTATCATCCCTCTATCATGTGTGGTAAGAGCAGGTATCTAGCCTCCTGGTGATTGTGGTACCTGGCTCATCCATGTACTAGAGTATACTGAGGGTGAGGTTGAGTGAGTGAGTGTGGTGAGTATGTAGGCATGTACCAGTGTGTGAGTATGCATGCCTGTGTCCTTATTGGCCCTCCTGCCGTCCCCTTTCAACCGGCCTCCGCCTCTTTGTCTTCATCATCATCAATATTCTAGCTATTCTAGCTAGGTACATAACCCAATCAACACTGGCCAGATGCGGCCGCAGCATTGTCTTTGCTGCTAGGCGGGTGGCGGGCTCATCTCTGCACATGGTTCTGGGCAACACTCATGGGCACCCGTGCTAATCCGTTGCCTCCTCTCTCAAGTGCTCTCGTAACGGTTAAACCCCCCCCCCCAAGGCCTCGTTCCGCTGGCACGTCCAGGGCTGGGTGTCGTGACCGCGACCCGCAGCGGAACGGGCGTCCTGGCCAGCAAAGCCCCCACTAAGCCCAATACCGCCTGGCTCCGTGACCCGCTCCTACCTGCCTGCCTGCCTGCTTGGCACAAACCCCCACAAAAAAAAAAAGATTCTATTTCTCTCACACACACTTACTGAAAAAAAAACCTACTGGCCGTCTAATCATATCCTAATACGTATAAAAACTAGCAAGCAAGGGCAAAAGGAAACTAGAATAATAACTTAGACCTTTATTATAATTAAGAAGTAGAAAGG